AGGAATGCCATGACCTCACCAAAGTTAAGGTTCCTACGGTGACCAGAAGCACTAAAGAAACCACAGCTATTAACAAATGACAATGAAAGCAGCACTGAAGAGCCCATGTCTAAAAGGCAACATCTTGCATTAAGCAACTACTTCATGACATCCGCAATTCTTCTCATACAGTTTGTTTCAGCTTTGGACAAACCAACTCTACCAGGCAAACAGGTTTTGCTGCTTATTTTGCTGATTGCTTAAGACATTTTTCCTCACAGTCTAATCATTCAAGATACTTTGGAACTGAAGCTGTATAGGTTCAGAATAACAGCTACTTATGCAGCATGCTGTGCACACATGGCAGGGAAATTTTCACCAAAGCACATTAGGGTAGCCACATGCTCTTAAGAAAAATACCCTCAGATCTTCATGCCCTTGCAAAACAGCTAGAACTGTGGAGACATTGACAAATTGGGACATTTTAATGCAAAACCCCTCCTACTTAATTATTTTGAAGTATAACAACATTCAGTGTCTCAGACATTAGAACAATGAAACTGAAAGGAAAGAGGATATTTATAGTGTGCAGGAAGGAGTTGGCTTGCTATTCATATTTTAAAGGTAAAAATAAAATAAGCAAACTGGGGTGGGGAAACCCCTGCTGGGCCACCGCCTTTGTACATTGCAAAATAAGGCACAAGTTAATTTTCCCCTTTGTCTCACCTTTAAGCCACAACACTGGGTGAAGCAGGTAAATGCGGTAACAGGATAGGATGTGCACTCTGAAATCTCTTAGATGTAGCTGCTAACTTTCCAGAAGAAAATGACAGTGCTGCTCCAACATCCAATTTGCAGAGCATTTAAGAACAGGACTTCTCTTGTGCTCAGCTACATTGCTGAATCAGGCTGTGGTCTCTGGATTGGTTGATCTACAGGCAGTCCTCGGACTTACGACACAATTGGTTCCTGAAACCCGCATTGTAAGTCGAAACGTCATAACTCAGAACTGATTTTTCCATAGGAACAATATAATAAATGGATGATTGGTTCCTGAACCAAGGCCCGATACCCTATTTTCACCCAAAATAACCCAGAATTGTGTACTCAATTATAGATGAGTATAATATAGTGATATTAATGTATTTATATTGTAAATAGCAATCATATTGATTTGGAAGGGCTTCTTTGAGGGGACTTTGCTGGACTTTTTGAAGGGCTCTTGGTTGGACTTTTTGAAGGGTTTTCAGGAGTCTTGGCTGCAGGTTTTTCTGAAGTCTTGTCTGCTTTCTTAAAGAACGTGTCCAAGGAAGTTTGGACACATGTTCTCCAGGGAGATGGGCTATGCAGTGAACTCGGATCAAGCATCATAAAGTCAAAACTGACATCAGAAGGTCGAAACAGTGTCAATTTATAAATGTTGCAAGTGCCATTTGTTGTAACTTGAAACATCTTAAGTCGAGGACTACCCGTACTCAGTCTGGGTGTAATTCAGGACCCTATGCATGGGATCCAGGCTGTGGGCCACAGCCCATGGGGCCAGCAGGTTGAGCACCATTTGCTCCTTCTTGAATAGTTGGTGGAAGGGATTAATTCATTTTGCCCCTACTGTGCTCTGTAGATGGCCTGGCCACTCTAGGAGTTCCCCCATCTCCTAAATCTGTGGTGTTTCTTTCACAGTCAGGGATCAGACAGTGCTGGGAAGTCTTTCCCACTTTATGTAGTGCCTCAAAGAGGTAGATCCAACATCAGCTCTGGTGCAAGTGGGGCAATGCTGCTGACTCCATTTCATACTTATTGGCCATGTTCCTTGCAACAGATGCGGATCACAGCACCACTCTGTGGTTGAAGGAATCAACCACTGCTAAGCAGTTCTACTTTATTTCCCTCAAACTATTTTTCTTCACCCATTCCCATCTTCTGCCTTTCTTTATGACTGTCAGAAAAAAGCTGGCCAGCACTTCATCCTCCCCTCACTCACAGACACCTGACATTTCCTCCTTTCTTTCTCACAAGAGGCACTCTGACCTCTCTGTCTCACACATGCACACACACATATTCATATATTTGCCATCCTTATATAACCAAGGCTTAGTTTTGTCCAATGTTGGCAGAGTGCAGTGACTGGTGGCCTTACAAAAACAGCAAAAAAAAAGTCCCTGGCAACTGTTAAGATTGGGGTGATAGGCAGGAAGCATGAATTTCCCATCTCCTGGAATTGGGACAGAATCACTTTCTACTGCTTAAGAACAACAAAGGCTGGGAACGAAAACAGATACAGGTCTTTTATCTCTAGGAACCCAAGTTCAAATCCTGATTTGCCTGCACAAATGAAGCAAGTTTGGTGGGAGGGAGGGCATATCTAGTCAACGTGTTTCCTTGCTTCCAGAAAGCCAGTGTGCAGTGTAGATTCAGAGGTCTTCCCTATGATAAAGACCTCTTAGGATCCTTCTCACCCATCCCTGTCTCACCCTAAGCTGGTGGAAGCTGTTCCTTACTGTACATTCCTCAGGGTTTTGTCCTATTACTGCCCTTGGGAAGCAATGCCATCATTTCACAGACCTTACAGATGAGAATGGTTACTGACATCTACTTAAGTGGTGTCTTTGCTCCACTTTTTCCTACAGTTTCTAGGCTGTGTCCACACTAAGCATTTCTTTAATGTTCCCCAGCATGGCACTACTCCTTATGCAGCTTTACCGGGGTAGCAATAGGGAGATACCCAGTGGAAGAAACAGGCAACATGGTAGGTAACATGTCAGCAGCCAGTCTATGCTAGAGCTCTTCAATTGCTGCTGATGGTAGGAGCAGAGTGCCACTAGCTTGGTGCAACCAAAGCCTTAGTGTTTCTATATAAATCCCACCCTTAACTCCTCCTTCTCTGCTGTTTATACCAGTGATATCATAGATGTATCATATCCCCCATTCACTGTTGTTGACCATTCATCACATATTTAAATGATTTTAATAACCCATTGTAATTCAATCGCTCTATTCCTAGAAGCAGAAGAGTGAGAGCAGAGGGCATCCTGGGTTCTACCACAGCCTAATAATAGCACTGACACTAAGGGCACCTGCCCCCATCACTGCTCCTGTTGACATAAACCTATTGGAGATTAGTTTCTAACTCCTCCTGGAGGCATTAGGGATAATCCAGGTGCTGAGACACCAGGAGCTAAATATGGTGCTAGTCCCTGAATAGCTTTGTCCCATTTAAAAGAGCTACTTTCACATGGGGTTGGAAGGACAAATTTCAAGCAGGGGGCATGTGAAGGGGAAAGGCAGATTATTAAGACAAAGCTGTCTCAGCAGGCCACTTTCTCTTTTTCTTCTCTGGATGGTGGGTGAAATGTAGCAGGGTGTGTGAGATGCTGGCTTGCTTTACTTCTCTCCTTACCATCGCATTCCTCCTCCCTCCCCTATCCCATTTTTTTTCCAAATCATGTAATCCCGTAAGGAATTAGACCAGTGATGCCTTTTCGCTACCAGAGGAACTGTGGTGATCTGACTACAGCAGTCTGTAGCAGCAGAATGGACTTGGGGTAGATCTGAAAGGAGAGATGTGATTTAGTAGTGTAGACACAGGAAAGGAAATCTGGAGGACTAGCCCTATCTTTGTCAGTGGCTCTGTGTATGGCTTTCAGTCCCCCATCCATGTAATAAGGATTAACTACCTCACAGGGTTGTTAATTGTTTTAGCAACCCTCATTAACAGAGCATCTCCCTGTCTTAAATGCATTTATCCTTACAACCCCCTCCTGAGGTAGAGAAGCAGTATTATGTCCACTGGGGAACTGAGGCATAGAGTAAGATATGGCCAAGTTCCCATAGCAAAACCACAGAAAAGCAGGGACTTGAGTGCAAGTCCCCAAATTATTACACAGATCCTGAGCTGTTGGACCACCCAAGCCCTCCCCAGGGGGTAGGAGGATCCAGGGTAAAGTATTTTGAATGTGAGATGTGCAATAGGTTGCTGTTCTCCAGGGAGAATTAAGAGGATGAGGTGGAAGGTAATTAATGAGATCTGCAGCCTTCTGCCTTCCAGTTGGAACCAGGTGGCTGTTCTCTATTGTTTAGTGGATTGGGGTTTGATCATTCCAGCTCCCTGGTGTCTTGTCTACATTAGGCTTTTACTACCACAGGAGCCATTCCGTAGGTTGATGTGCTGAACCACTGTGCCAAGCAACCTGGCTCAGTAGAAGTTTCCATCAGTGGTACTCAATCTCTTCAGCCACATGGGCTGGATGAATGGTATGTGTCTAGTGCATGGCCTGGATCCCTTGCATGGTGTTGGTCCATAAAGCAGATTCAGCATGGGGTTGGCATGCAGGGTTGGTCTGCTGGTGTGATCCAGTGCACTGGCCCAGCCTTGTGCACCAAATTCAGCTGCACACAGGCCCAACCCTGCATGTGGCTGGACACCATGTTTTGGATGCAGCCACAGAGTGACTCCATGTACCGGCCTGCTTGCATGCTAGTGTGATCCAGTATGCAGGGGCACATTGGTCCACAGGGCTCTCTACATGTCCAGAAATTTGACAGCAGAGAAGCAGCAATGAACACTGTCACTCCACGGGCCAGATGATTTCACTCCACAGGCTGGATCTATCCCATGGGTCACAGGTTGAGCACCACTGGTCTAGATAACATACACCTTGCTTTTACACTGGAGTGGGGAAGGTGATACTGGTATATACTGAGCACAAGCCCAACACAGTACAAGTCAGTGGTACTGGCACAGGCTGAGAGGCAGCAGAGGATATGTCACAAGAGATTCACTACTATGACCCTACTTAATAAGCAAAGCTCTTGATATGTACAGCACTTCTCTGAATTGTCCAGTCCCTTTGTAGCAGTGCATAAGCATTACTTCTGTCATTTTACAGCTGAGGAAGCTGAGGCACAGAGAGAGAAAGTGGCCTAGTTAGTCACAAAGGGAGGTTGTGAGAGAGATCAAACTTGAACCCACATCTTCTGAGTCCCCAGCACAGCCCCTGTACCACAAGACTGACCTTGGACACCTAGTACCTTAACTGGAACATCAAAACAGGTGAGAAGAGTTGCTCAAGATCACAGGACAAACAGTGGAAAAGTCATAAAAGGAGCCCGGGTCCTCCTTGCTCCAAGACCTATGCACTAATCACTGGAGTACACTGCCTTGATGACCCAATGCACCCCTAAGGTCACCAGTTAGAGCAACTACGAGCTTCCAGCCTGGACAGCAAATTGCAGAGAAGGGGCCAGTTATTTATTTACTCAAATCTCATGTGTGTGTGATCTCAGCTGGTGCAGAAAACACACAGACACTTGCAACATGGGAGAAGCAGCTGTGTTTTTAAGAGTATATTATTACAGAGAAAGAGTCACTGTTAGGGGCTTTCCACCTGCAAATTATTCATGGATTATTTGTTTGGCAGCAATATTCAGAGGCCCCTGCTGAGGTCTGAGTCCCATTGTGCCAGATGCTGCATAAATGCATGGTCAGAGACAGTGCCTACCTTTGTAGGTAATATAAACTGTCATCACTGAGACCTTCGAGAAGTTGTTTCTCGAGGAACAGACTAAGGTTTGTCCCAGGATGACTCCTTGTCCCTGTAAGCCTCCCTTACACCAGACTCCACAGCTGCAACAGGAGAATCTTTGCCAGCTCCAGGGAGTCTCCCCTTGGGTCCTGCAAAACATATGGGTTCCTCTCCTCTGTAGAAGAGGCCTGTCTAGAATATCACCCGCTCTGAGATCACGCTTTATCATGGGCAATCAGTAGGGCAATAAGACAGCTAAAGGATTTATTACATAGGAGAAAAGAATTGTACAAGAATAAGTGAAGCAGTTTGGAGGCAGAGTACAGAACTGAAACCAAACAGAATTTCTCACCCTCTTTCGTGACTACAGTACAGTCCTAGAGATCAAGCTTTTTTTTAAATTTTGTTTCCAAGGCCAAATCAGTTCTGAATTAAGTTCTAGATTTCAACAGAGCAGTGCTCAATCAATCAAGTCTGCCTGTGTGGCACCATCACCAGCAAGTATCTTACCTCTCCTGAGGCTTCAAATACCCCCAAATCCATAGCAGGCATCATATGTGCAAGCCCCACACATGGAGACCTTGGAGTTAGGATGCCTCCTAGTCTCACTTGCCCCTAGCCAAAAGGCAAAAGGAGCAAGCTAGAGGGAAAGCCTGAGAGCAATCCCCCATCACTATAAATTGGGTAGCCAAAATCCTTACATTTGGAGGCATTTGTAGACTCTCACAGGGGTCAGCCTGACCACAGTGCAGGGGACAAGCCTTCACCCTCTAACTATACCAAGTAATTCAAGGCCAAGAAGAAGGGTATCTACCCTGCCTGGGGACCTGGATTCACTCCCAAGACTTGGGCAAATCCAAAGACAACTTCCTAAGTACCTTCCAGGCAGCCCCCACCTACCCCCCACCCCCTTCCCCCTCCAATCTCTACTGCACTATCCATTTTCTGGGGTGTATCAGAATCCTCCAGAGACTTCTTTGCTCCCTGTGATGTCTGGAATTCTCCCCTGTACTGGCCCATCTCCCTGGAATGCACTTGTTGTCCTGGGGCCGATGTTTCTCCTTGCAGGCAGATTAAAATCATCCCTATTTTGGGTGCCCATTACAACAATAGCCCTTTCTGCCATGTGTGTGGGAGTGGTAATTGCTCTTGTCTTTGTAAAGCAATCAGTCCCTAATACCCAGTAGTTTTGCCTTCCCCCTGTTCATTAGGCCTGCATACCACAGGCAAAATAGTCCTTAACTAGGGATCAGGCTATAACTTTTTGATTAAGTTATGACTTACGACACAAAATTGCAAGGACACATACCAGTACCTATAGAAGAGCATGTTCCACACAGTGATAAAAGTGATACAAATAAATGAAGCTTATCATTAGCTTTTGAGAGAGACTGAAAGGTAGTTAAACCAAACTGGGGACAAATAGCGGTGCGTGAGACACTCTGAACCCCAAAATCATTCTTGCTTTTGGGGTGGGTTTGGGACACAGGGGCTACACCCCTGCTATAGACAATCAACAAGGGCTTTTGGGTTAGGCACCAGTCTTGCCTGCCATTTAGCGAGAATCCTGATGGCAGAGGCAGCCTTGGGGAGTAGTGTAGAGGCAAGGGGGTGCCTAACCATCCCTGTCACACTTGTGCTCGCCTCTCCTCTTTGCGCCGCCGTATCCCGTGTTTACGATTCCCCATGTCATCCACCAGCACCTCCTTGTGGCTTCCCTTCACCATACACTCCCTCACCATGTCCAACACCTTCTGGAGGCGCCGGTCCAGTGCCTCCAAGTGAGGCTCTGATAGGATTGGGGAGAGGCGGTCGGAGGCCAGTGACTCCCGCATGACATCACTGAGGCGATAGGCTTCCGTAGCCAGCAGCTGCAGGCGCAAGTATGTTGATTTCTTTATACTAATGGTGTTGGTGGGGGAAAGGGAGAGAAGGGGAAGAGATGAGAAATGTCAACCAGAGATGTGACCAAAACAACCCCAACATACATGTCATGCCTCCCATCCTGAGTGGTCCCACAGCCGTTGGCAAATTTTGTATGAATGAATCACTTCACTCGCCACCAAAATACAAGGAGGTGCTGATGGATTAGACGGGGAAGTGTAGACATAGGATTTGGTGGCATAAAGAGGTGAGCCATTTCATGCCACATGACCAGTGTCTTAAATTTAGTCATACCAGCCGGCTCCATTTCCAAACTAAAAGGATGAGGCTGGATCCATCTCTGTAAACAAGGTACTTGGGAAGTATAAAGGTAGGATGGAGGGAGCAAGGAGAGCCATTACCTGCAGCACTGCTGGAGAGGGGCCAAGATGGACATTTCATCATGAGAATGTCTTCCAAATCTAAGAAGAGAAATGAGGGAAACACAAAGGGTCAATTCTGTGAATGGATCTGCTATGCCCCTTTGTAGACTGGGCACTGTCAACCCTGGCAAGGTGCATTCTAGTCAGACACCTTACAGTCAACATGGCAATGACACTAAATGTCAAGTAAGCAGTGGCTGGTAAATTCACACCATTCCCTGCATGGGAAGAGATCTCTCCTTATACAGAAATAGTACTGAGCTTGAAAGCCTTCCCTGCTCTCTCCACACACAAAGCTCTCCACATCAACAAGAGTCCACCTTTCCCACCCTACCCTCGCCCGTTGTCCAGGTGCAGCAGGAAAGTGTCGTTACCAAACTTCTCAAAGGTCTCGTAGTGATGCCGATCCATGTTACCTGTAGAGAGGAGAGGAGATGGGTATGAATGACAGGCAAAAGGCAAAGGGTGAAAGGAAAGCAACAGAGTTCCAGGGAGAGAGTAGATATAGAAACTGTCTTGGCGGCTCACAGAGGAGAAGGACTGAGTCAGTGTTGTGCACCTGTGGCAGGGGAGACAAATAAAAAAGGGCCCTAAGGTCTAGTCCACACAAAAACTGTATCGCTGTAACTAGATCAAGTTAAATCAATATCATCCCTCTTGTGCAGGTCCAGTCATACCAGTATAGAGGTGCATAGCTATTCATACAGATTATTCCTGTAAAGCCAGAGCTACACTCAGAGAGCTTTCCAGTGTACAGGAATATTGGTGTACCAGTATAAAGCAGATGCAAACAGAGTAGCATGGTTGCATTTTGTACAGCAAAACCACATCCAGGCGGGCAAAACAAACTACACTGGTTAAGGTGTAGTTTGGCTGGCATATCTGTAAAACTAGGGGCTTTTACTAGCACAACTGTGTCAGTCAGGGATTGTACCTCCTCGCACTCCAGCTGGCATTGCTATGCCAACAGAAGCCTGTAGTGAAGACATGTCCCTACTATAGTTGTACTGAAAATCTTTCCATAGTGCAGTCATTACTAACACAGCTAACTGTACAGCAGGGAAGTTCTGTCACTGGCACACTAAATCCTCAGGCAACCCACCCGGTATCATCCAGTCACAGTGCTGATTGATGTGCTGAGTCCAAAGCAGTTGCAAAGACTACAAACACGGTATGAATGTTCTTTTGTAACTCCAGTCAGTTTTCAGTAACAGACTTCAAAGTGTATATGGTGTGGAAAGTAAATCAACCAATAAGGAAATGGTGGTGGTTGTTTCTTACTTTGGGATTTAAATATTATTTTAGTCTGTTCAGTAGCATTATCCTAAATGCCTTCCCTTAGATTGACAGCAGTGTTATTCCTGTACAGCAGTGGTTCTCAACCCTTTTAGACTCAAGGCACCTGGACAGACTTGGGGCAGATCTTAGAACATGTCAGCTCTTAGTGTTCACTCTTTTTTTACCTACAGAAAAATAATAGAGCATTTTTTCTGTTGCAAAGAACTCAGAAAAATGAGAACTATGGATTTCTAGTTTAAATCAATGGGTTTATCTTGTGAATCACTACAAACTTAACAGTCCTAACATTGTATGGCATCCCACAACACCCTTGAAAGGATCACAACACCCTTGAAAGGATCACCCTGGTTGAGAATCACCACACTACAATGTGTGAAAGCTGATCACACTCCCTTTCTGAATCTTTTCCAATCTTCTGGACATCAACAGGTTTCCCAAGTCTTTGAGATGATGCTGTGAAGCCAGCAATCTAAATTCACACCTTCACTCTGCCACGGTTCTGGTGAGATGTTGTCAAATCCTGGTGCTTTATCATCCCATAACTGTTTGTGTGCATCACTGGCCTGTTTTCTGCCAAGGTCTTTTTTGGATCAGACAGCAGTTCACATCTTGTTGGAGATCTGCTCATTAACTCACAGAAATGTTCGCACCAATGCTTTAGCTGTACATCAATATCCTGCCAGTATTTTCCATTTTTATCCTTAATTGGCAGAAACTGTGAGAATAAATGTCCAATTAGGACAGTGTCTCATACACATTTCTGATCCTGTCTCTTGGAGACTTCCTCAATGCACTGTGCCATTTTTGTCCCAACCATTTATTATGAGCCGTATGACAAGCACTCCTAACTGTTCAGGCAATATATTTCTTTCATTCTACTGGTCATTTTTTCTTCTTTTCACTCATTTGATTTTGTCCTACTAGTGCCTCCTTTCTATATTGTGCCTTTCTCTTTTCTCCCATAGTTTGATAGTATCATCTTTAATCCAATGTTTCTTCTTCATACTCTTTAAATCCTAAGTGTTCTCCACCAATCTCTGCAATCAAAATCCAAGGTCCACTTTCCCTGTGCCAGAGACAGCTGGTCAGCCAGCCTAGAGAATTTGTTGGAGGCTGCTAGAGCACAACTGTTAGTTACTGCTTCATCGTGCAGGTTTAAACGTTTTGAAGCATCAAGCATTCATCTCTGAGATTTTATGAGCTGGAATATTATCATTGCTACTAGAAGCTGATGATCAGATTCTGGGAAAAGGTTCAGATATGTTCAGTCCAAGCTTTCCAAACTAGAAAGCAATCCAAACGTGCACACCTAAGAACACCTATGGTAGCTTCCACACTGAAAACAGGTAACAGTTAAGGATATTCAATATGTGGCAACAAACTCTTATCCACACTAGTAACTTCTACATGTCTCACTTTCAGACTAAAAGTGGTGGCTAACAGACATGAGGAGTAATACCACCAAACTAGTAGTGCAGACTGTGCCCTCAGAGGCAGTACCAAGGCAGCATATTGCGTCCTTCAAATGTATCAAAAGTATATATGAGGCAAAAAGATTTGACTACTGAGAGTCTGGACTGTGCCTTTAGCATTCAGATTCACCTACTGCTGCACATTGCATCTACCAACACTCAACTGTTCTGATTCTTCAGCCAAGAGCCTTGCTCTTCTGACAGCCCATCATGGTCAACCCTTAAACACTAATATCTCTGTAGAAATAGATCTCTCATCTATATCAAGTACTCCCCACATTTCTGGTTTATGGAAAAACCATTCTGGTGACTGTAAGCCATCTCTTGTGGGTATAGTAAAACATGTAAATGAAGCCTGAAGTTTAGTTCCAATCAGGAGAACACAAGAAGCTAACAAAGAATGTCCTTTTCTTCCATGTGTCGAGGCTAGAGGTGTTCTACAGAGATGTCTTGCCAGGTTGTCCCTCAGCTCTCCTGTCTTATCTGTTTTGGGGACCAGTGTGAGGGTAAAGACACAGTGATGGGGTTTACGTAGATGCAGCTTATATCAGCAAAAATGCACATTTGCAAGTCTAATGTATTGCAGCCGCCTCCCTTATTCTCCCTGTGGAACAAAAGGAATTTGTCTGGTAAAAGCAGAGTTTTGTCAATATAACTGCATATGCACAAAGAGCTCTTGCCATCACAGCTGTGTTGGTTAAAGACCACATTTCCTCACCCCACCCCCCCATGTGGCTATGGCAACAAGAATTTGTAGTGTTACCTCATATGAAGGGCTCAGACACACAACACATTGACACCAGTGGAATCAGCCTTTACACCAGTGTAAAATAAAGAGTAGACACATGACATACAGTCCTTCACCAGTGTAGCTTCCTTGAATCTGGTAGGAAAAATCAGGTGTAAAACTACACAGGTGTAAATTACACTGCTGCATGTGTTTCATAGATTTCATAGACATTAGGGCTGGAAGGGACCTCAGAAGATCATCGAGTCCAGCCCCACGCCCCAGGAGCAGGAAGTCAGCAGGGGTCATATGATCCCAGCAAGGTAAACATCCAAATGTGTCTTAAAGGTGTCCAGAGTAGGTGCTTGCACCACCTCTGATGGCAGTCTGTTCCAGGCCTTGTAGGCTCGGACAGTAAAGAAGTTCTTCCTTATGTCCAGCTTGAAATGGTCTTGGAGGAGTTTGTGACCGTTTGACCTTGTTGTCCCTTGGGGCACTCTGGTGAACAGATGTCCCCCCAGATCCTGATGCACACCCCTGATGTACTTATAGGCAGCCACCGAGCCTGTGCTTTTCCAGGCTGAAGAGTCCCATAGCTCTCAGCCTCTCATCATAAGGCCTGTTCTCCTGCCCTCTGATCACACACGTGGCTCTCTTCTAGACCAAGTATTTAGTTAAAAAATACCAAGTATTTTTCCCAGAGAAGCTTCTAGGAAGTTTCTTTTTTTTTTCTTTTTTCTTTTTTTTAATCCCCCCTTACACTAGCTTGGGTTTTGTGATGAAAAAATGACATCTGAAATATTTTTCTGTTTGGAAAATCATTTTTTTGTCAAACAACTTTCAGGTTTTGCTACCTGGTATTTCTGCAAAACACTCAAAACATTTCGACCCAAACAAGTACTGTTGTTTTGGTCGAAACGTAATATTTCACTGAAAAGCAATGTTTTTACAAAAGATTAACCATCTCTACCCTCAATTCCAAACAAGGCAAAAAAATGCTTCACAGCTTCACATTGGACCCCGTAGAGCTGCAAAAACCATAATCCATTGTCCCTTTTGGAAAGGAAACCAAAAGGGGGGGTCTTGATCTGTATGCTTTCTCCTACCCTCTCCATGTCTGGCAACTCTGTCCTGGCACAGGACTCCCCATTTCTGCAGGCCGGATCTCTGTGATTACAATGAACCCATGAAAAAGCTGCTAGGCTTCCCGTGGAACAAGCAATGTGGCTAGCTGTTGCCTTCTGCTCTCTTACCTGGTAATGAGCCTGGGCTTGCTGGGCTGAATTCAAAGTGACATTGCAAAGTTTGCAGCACAGGGGCTTACATAGTTCCTCCAGCACAGGATCCTGCTCCACTGCCTTTGTAAGCTCGTCCTCTTGTGTGCGCTGCAAGGAGGGCCCCAGGCCAAGAGATTTCTGCGGGGACAGTGGTGAGCTGGCTTTTGGCTTTGTGGCCACTGACATAGGAAGAGCTGAAGGCTTCTCAGGACGAGAATGAGGAGGCAGTCCTGCCTGCTGCAAAACAACCATTGGCCAGGAGGATCGCTAGCACAGTACAGCTGAAGGATGAAGAGTCTTCTTCAGATCTCTACAAGTCTTTTGGTTGTCTTTCCTTAGCTTATCTCAGGCTGCTTGATTGCTCAAGACCATTAGGGCTCAGCCTTCTGGCCATGTGGACAGGAAGAGTGGTACCCCGATGTTACCTGCTTCCCCACCACCTAGTGGTGAGGTGCTATAATAATTGCTTAATAAGCAGCCACTAAAGGTTAGTTGTACATCCTTTTGCTAAGGATCCCAGTGTAAGGGCCTTGTTACAGGTTCATTCTGGGTGGCTCCTGGAGCCCTTAACCCCTGGACTGTCCACATATTAACACTTTTAAGTGGCTTAAAGCACTCATTATTTGGCTCAAAGCTATGCC